TTGTCATAGCTGGCCAGCTATGTGTGTTTGTTTTATAAAATTGAATGGTGACAACTTCAGGCTTTTCTGCCTTGTTTTCAATCCCAGGAGTCTTATTAACAGGTCAGGCCCTAGCTGGACTGCTCCCTCAGGACTTCGGATTCAAGCAGACATTGGATCTTTGGGTGTCCTGGACTTCTGAGCCTCCTGTAAACTCCAGGACAGGAGTCAGTGCTAGGCTGGGGCACCCAGGATGAATCCAGCATCACCCTCCACAGGCTCATCACCCAGTGATGAAAAAGTTCTCATTCATTACTCTCAGGAGATAGCTGAAGATGTGGGCAAAGAGTCCTAAATCCTGACTCTTAGTGATGGGAGGCCCTTTTACTGTGTTTTCAGACAGAAGTACTCCATCTCCTTGTAAAAGAGGGCCACCCTGCCGGATAAGCTCCAGGAGCTATGAGCTCACTCAGGAAAGCAGGGGCTTCTTTTGTTTTACGATAGAGGTTAGAGGTGGTGATGGTGGGAGGGGATGCTGAGCTTCCTTTCCCATTCTGTCAGTAGTGCGGGCGACTTCAGGGATGTGATCTGAGTTGGAAGGGGTAAGGTGTATATGGAAGAAAGCATGGAAAGTGGGCAAAGAGCAGTGTCTCCAAGCTGTCTGTTCTCTAGAGGTTTGCGTAGGGCCACAATCTGGTGGCCCATTTCTTTCTCTTTTTTTCTTAAGACAGGGTTTTTTTCTGTGTAGTAGTCCTGGCTGTCCTGGAACTCACTCTGTAGACTAGGCTGGTCTTGAACTCACTGAGATTCACCTGCCTGTGCCTCCCAAGTGCTGGGATTAATTATTTCTAAGACCCCCTAGGACCTCAGGGTCAGCACCAGAGTGTTAGGAGCCGTTACAAGCTGTGAGCATGCGCACTAGGTAACTTTGTAACTTTCCAGCCCTTAGTCTCCGCCCCTCCCGTGACGTCATATGGTCCGATCAGCTTATGTCATATGGTCCGACGAGCTTCAGCCAGTCAGAGAGTAACAGTCTGAGGCGACGGTTGCCAGCCTATATAAGGAGGGGTTTTGGGGAGTTCAGAGTCTCTGCTCTATAAGCTGATGCTCTCTCTCTCAAGACGCAGTAAAGCTTTACTGCAGAAGGATCCTGAGGAGTGTCCCCGTGTCGTTTTTGCTGGCGAGACGGGCGGGACATCTGGAGCCGTTACAAGCTGGTGCGTATGTAAGGAGCCGTTACAAGCTGTGAGCATGCGCACTAGGTAACTTTGTAACAGCTCCTAACACCAGAGCGCTGCTGTGTTTTCACTGTTGCAGGTCTGGTCTCATAGCTTTCTCTGGGACTGGACACGTGACCAAAGCATCCATGTCATCTCCACCTGCTTCTCCCCAGGAAGCTCAGAGTCAGAGCTAAATCTATCTTCTTCCTCCACCTGCTGACAGACCTAACTCTTGATGAAGCACTCACCTGTGTAATGTGGTGGTGGGGTGGGGCAGTGAGACTGGTGGAGAGGGTTCCTATCCCCCAGCTCCCCTCCATGGGGGGAGTCTCCACAGCATCTATGCCACTTTAAGCACAGCGCTCTGCCTTGCAGCCAACAGCTTGCCTCACACCTCAGGAGGGAGTGCTAATGAGAAGACACAGGGAAGGGCTATGCCTGCTTGGGGGTTCTCACATTTGTTCCAAGAGCACACCTTCTTTGGGGTAGGGTGAGAGTACTAATAGAGTGTGTACCTACTAACCAAATGCCTAGGCAAGCACCTCTAAAGCAAAGACCACTGGGTAGGGCACATACAGCTACCAACTCCACAGCATGATGAGCATGGGTCCACCACCCATGCCAAGTTAGTGCTGGGGCCATGCAGATTCGAAGACAGGAATGTGCATTTCCCATGGCACCTGTGGAGGGCACTGGTCAGGCACACACCCTCTGGAGCATCCCAGTTGGGGCACACAGGTGCAAAGCAAGGCCCTGCCCATGGAAGGAAGAAAGTGCAGAAAACCCAGACGCATCCAGACAAGAAGCAAGGTGGGAGACTGATGGGAAATGTACTGTGTATGTTTATCTTATTGATTGTTAAATAAAATACTGTTTGGCCAATGAGACAGCAAGTAGACGGGACTAGGAGTCAAAGAGGATTCTGGGAAATGTAGTAGAGAAGTGGTGATCCAGGCAGGAAGTGACATAGCAAGGAGACTCATATTTAAGCGAAGGAGAAACAGGAAGGGTCCCTTTTTTTCCCCTCCGCTCCTGCTCCAGCGGCACAATGTGAGCCACTGGCAAGGAGGGACGCCAATAAGGCATCCGATAAGATAAGTCTTATAAAATATATAGGTTTATGATAGTTAAGACTGAGCTAACAGATGAGAATCCTAGTCATTGGCCAAACAGCTTTGAAACTAATACAAGTTTCTGTGTATTCATTTGGGCCTAACTCAGGCAGGCGGCTGGCGTAAAGCTCACACGTGGCAGTGGGGCTCAGGCGGCATTTGGCAGAAAGATTTATCGTAACAGGAGACATAGTGTTCCTCAACTTCAGCAGCTTTATTACCGTCCATTTTCCCCAGAGCAGTAGAGAAGGGTTCTCTTGTCAAGCTGAAATACTGTGGAGATACCTTTTCCCCAGACTCTTGTGTCACATCCCTCTTCCTTCTTACAAGCCAGAATAGAGAGACCCAGGAGTCCTCCATTCACAATGTCCATAAATGCTCACCCAGGGCCTCTGTGTTACCCAACAACAGATGCAGAAGTCACAGGCAACAGGACTACAAAGAAGAAGGAAGATGACCCCTGTCTGGAAGGCAGTGTGTGGGAGATGAGACAGGTGGGACAGTGGCACCAGGAAATAAAGGCTGTCATGTTGAACTCTCAAGGGGACTTGGTCCTTGTGACCAGGAACTGGGGAAACATCAGGACTTTGTTGAACATCCCTTTTGGTTTTGCTGAAGGGACATGGCAAAGGGGTACACTGGAACCATAGGGAGAGAGAAGAAGGGGGAGGAGCAAGAACAAGTAATATGTGGTGTGGCAACTCTGTGAGGAGAATTTGGCAAACCATGGAGATGAGACTTAGGAGAAGGAAGATTCTAAGTTGATGGGGGAAGTCCTTCTGTATATATGTTTCTCTTATTGGTTGATGAATAAAACACTGTGGCCAGTGAGGCAGGAAGATAGGCAAGACTAGGACAAGGAGAATTCTGGGAAAGGTAGGCAGAGAGGGCCCGCCACAACAGTTGCCATGTGAGCCGTCAAAGGAGTTAGAGGTCCAGACCCCTTCTAATAATAGAAATGGGTAAATAATTAAGACAGAAGAAGCCCTAGTCATCGGCCAACAATTTTATAACTAATATAGCTTCCATGTGTTTCTTTGGGGCTCAAGGGCCTTGGGACCAGCCGGGACAGAAAGCTCTCATTACACCAAGTGTCTTTTCTGTGTCTCAATTGAGCCCCTTCCTCAGGCCCTAACTTACTAATAACCTGCCCCCCCAACCCCTCGCCAACTTTGTGCTTGAGTCCCGTGGGGCTTCTGTTCAGTATATGGTCCTAACCAGACAGGGGATAGCATTTGCTCTGGAGAGTTGCTCCGAGTTTCTTCTGTTCAATGAATGGTACATACTCACAGGTTTAACTCAAAGGCATGCACACCTACACAGGATGGGATATGTGGGGTCCAGTGTAAAATAAAAATGAAGGATGCTTTGTTTAAAAGTAAGGGAAGTGTGATGATGCAGGAAATGCTTTCTTTTGCAGTTGCTCCGCTTTTCATGTTTGTTTATTAGTTAATGTCTTCCTAAGTAAAGCAAGATTAGCACAGATTTCATTATTCACTGATTTTACAGATTGTGTGTGTGTGTGTGTGTGTGTGTGTGTGTGTACTACATGTGTGCCTGGTACCTGTGAAGGTCACAATGAGTTGAGTCCACTGGAACCAGAGTTAGAGATAGGTGGCTATAAGCCACCATGGGGGGGGGCTGGAAATGAACTGGGTCCCCTGAAAAAGCAACAAGTGCTCTTAAATAGTGAGCTGTATCCCCAACCCCACTATTCATTTGACAATATGCAGTACCCATATGTGAACAAAAATGACCACAATCGAGCCAAGGCAGGCAGATCTCTGTGAGTTCAAGGCCAGCCTGGTCTACAGAGCAAGTTCCAGGACTGGTAGGGCTTTTGCACAGAGAAACCCTGTCTCAAAAAACAAAAACAAACAAACAA